TGCTGCAACATTATCTGCATGCGTCGCAAAAATAAAAGGAAAGATGAAATTTGCGCGCGATTGAACGAAAAAAATTAAATCGCGATTAAACGAGCAGACTGCTGCCGCTGCTTATCAAAAGAGTATAAGAAGTAAAAAAGTGAGCGCTCTCGTGCCCGACGAACACAAAAGAATCTCAAAGAAGCTCTTGGAAAAGTGCCTCATCAGAAACTTGCCTGCGAACTAATTAAAATAGCTTATCGGTCTCTTTTTTCGCAATTTATAAATTTAATTTCTCCTTCGAAATTTCCGATTATTATTACAAGTTGGACTTGCGCTATGTGCACTGGCTACTGGCGCTTCGCTCCAGGTAACGAGCTATCCGAGCTAATTAAAGCCTTGCGCGAATCCCTCGAGTAAACAGTCGCATGTATACAATGAAGCCCCCACCGCCGCCGCTCCACCCATTGTTTAGGCTATATATTCCAAAAAGTCTTGGGCTAGAAAACAATGAATCGGGCTGCCATTCGGCTGTTGGGGAATTTTTGAGAAATACATGGCTGCAGCCGACTATTATATTGCTCCTTGGCCGTTTGGCGAAGGGCTGCTACGTCTCCCTCTCTTTTTCCTCTCTGTGCATACATATGTGCACAGGATCCCGAGGACGAAGCTGCTGCCAGCTGACGAAATTGAACTTTCGGCCGATTTAATATTTCCACGACGCGACTACAGCGATGTTGCCATGGGAGCTTGAAAAATAAACCCTTCGGTGATGTGTACGTGTGTTTGCCAGTTTTTCCTCTTCCTTATCGCTCCCGCCACCAGCGGCTCTTGGCTTTTATACTCTCTCTCTCTCTCTCTCTCTCTCTGTATTATTGCAGCCCATTTTATCTCTCGACATTGTTTCACACAGCCAAGTCGCCAGATAGACTGTCGCGGCCTGCACCTTGCAGTTTGAGCATTCTAACGGGGTTAAAAAAATTTTCCGACTCGTAGCGAAACCCCAGAAAAGAGAAAAATGTAAAATAACGCAATCGACATTTCTATATTATACGCATGGATGCAGCGCATAAGATATCTCGTGGGAGGTGTCGCCCTCGGGCTGGCTACTTTATTACCTCGCAATCGAGCAGTTCTGGCCAAGAGAAAATTATAGGGGTTTGCGGTGCATGTGAATGTGTGTGTATGTGGGTGTGTGTGGGTGTGTGTGCAGGGTCGGGTGCGTGTGTGCATGCACGGAATAGCGGCTAATCCCAGCGTATAATTAACCACGCCAGGCCGCTTTTAAAGCCTCTTGGGCATCTAGCTTGGCTCTTTCGTAGGGCAGGTTTTATCGCGCTCCGATGGACAAGTGGAACGAGCGGACCATGCCTCCGATTGCGATAGTTTATCATATCTCTTTCGGTCCTGCTTCCACTATAAACTCGGAGAAATACGCGGCGCGGCTTAGGTATTTTCTCAGATTCAGCGAGTGCATGTGCGAAGGGGAAATTCATCAATCAGGAGCTGCTGCAGCTTCCGTCGGCTCGCCGAGTGATACGAAGTACGCGCTTGATTGCTTATTCAGGTCATTATTTCAGTATTTTCTTTCAAATGGTCGCGTGGCTACACTCGAGGAGAGGCCGTGTGTTTTCATCCCATACGAGATCCATATAACATAACGTCAAAAGCTCTGGCAAGCTCTTTCACTATTTAGCCTTTGCCTTTAGCTCGGGGTGTAGCCGCTTGAATTGCGCGCATCGCACGTGGAATTTGCCTTTCTATTTATGCATTTTTATTTTGCCTTTTGATTCGGCTCGAGCGAACCTCCGCTGCGTGTACACTATATATACTTAAATATTCGATAAGTCATTTTTTATTCGATGCAAAAAAATGTTACATTGCGCTCGTGTGCGTACTGGCTTCGTTAGAACTGTATCTGCGTGGCTCGACTTTCTGTGTGTATACATCAAGAGACCTCTCGAAATAAAGTTTGGAAAAAGTGCAAATTTTGCGCGAAAATCGCTAGGCACACAGAAATACTCGGTCTTCTACTTTTTTCCGTCTCTATCTCTCTAACCCGAGCTGCGTGAAAGTTCGAGGGTTTCGCGAGAAATACGTGCACAAGTAGTACTTTCATTAGTTTCAAATTTACCTTCTAGCTTTTTCTCTCTGCTTCACATAGAATCTGTAATTTTGTACCTAAATCTAAATATGATCTCGTTATTAGGAGTACTGTTCGTGTATTATTGAATTTCCTAATGCACAATAGAGAGATGTAAAAATTACGCAGCAAGACGTAACGTATTATACAATGTATACTGAACTACATTAAAGATAGGATATTGTGCGAGAATCGGTGCATTGAAATTTTCAATATTGCTTTATATTTTGCGGGCGAATTGTAGCAGCACTTGCCACGAGCGCTCTTTGAAAATGGAAACTCAAACAAAGCTGCTATGTAGGCTGCTGCTGCTGCTGCTGCTGCTACTGCTGCTGTCGGTGGTATAGAAGCGTGCTTCGATGCTCGAGAATCAATTTTCGCGCTGACGCGTGCATGATTTTAGAACGGCGGCGTTGCTGTACAGACAGATAAGCCAGACTGAATAATTGTGGCTTGTGGCGCTCGAATATTCCAAGTGTCGACGCGATTAGGTCGCGCTCTTGATTTAGTAGAGGCAGCTAGGCGCCAATAGCGCGCAGTTAGTTATTAGCCCAGGCAGTGGGCGCGCGCGCGTCGCGTCGCGTCGGCAATTAGCGCGATAAAGGGCAAAAAACTCGCACGCACTCGCACTGCACGACGACGACGAGGTCAACGTTAAACCGTCTTTATGGCTCTCTGCTTTATAAGTGCTGAAAACGTACGAGCGCGGAAAACAGCTACAGAGTCCGGTAACTGCGAGAGTACAGATAAAGAACTCGAGAGCCGCGCACAATGTGTATTTAGGCTCGATGTATTGTTTTAGAGCTGAATATTTTCAGCTGAGCTTGCGGTCCTGAACGTGTGTACACGAGACGATTACTGCGGCTAGCAGGCATATACGAACATGCTAACAAAAGAAACTTGATCAGTATAGCCGCAGCAGCAGCAGCAGCAGCAGCAGCAGTCGTCAACGGCGCGCGCGCGAAAAGCAATCAATCGTGCTAATAGCCATTAATAACGCGCGCGCGTAGCTTGCAGCAATTAAGAGGCTTTAAGAAAGAATGAAAAAAGCTGTGCAAGTGCAGCAGCAGCAGCATCAGCAGCATCAGCAGCAAGGCTAAAACAGCAACTATATACATCAGCGTAGAGAATGCCCAGCTCCGCAACGTGTGCGCAATTACTCATCGATCAATATCCCTCGTTATCGAAAGTTGTTTCCCCAAACGCGCGCGCGAGCACACATGGTGGCGTTTGCTCGGACAGAAACAAAGCGCTTTTCCCCCGAAAATTGCGCCTATACGCGCGTATACACTCCGTGTAAAGCTGATTCTCACACCCGATCTGCACGTGGCTTTTAACGCTCCGTGCTTACGTGTGTGCGTGCGTGTGTCTGTGTATGCATGTGCACCGTTCTCTATTGAATAAGGTTTGTATGCTGCATAGGTAGTTGGCGGCTTGTTGTTGTACTCTCTGAATCATAGACATACACGACGTTGTACTTGCTGCGTATTAGTTTCAATGGGTAATATTGCTTCCACTCTTGTGTCTGCCGCTGCTATTGCTGTTGTTGTACCAACACAACCAAGTATAATGATTCAATCGATAATTTATAGTAAATCCCTCCTACGAGCAAAGTTTAATCTTTGCGTACCAAAAGTTGAAAGAAAAAGGAGAAAAAAGGGAGTCGGCCTGGAAAGAGAAAAAGAGCGAGTAAAGCGTTCGTTTGAATTCCGTTCCAGGCAGCGATAGGCGATATTTTGCACGAGAAACTTTATTTTTAAATCCCTGAAATCGGGATATATATGCACGCTCATATACGTATATATATGTGATGCAGGAAAGTCGAAAGATAAGAGCGTAAAAGCCGAGACAAAAAGTCGTCGACTTGGCGCGAGTTCCAACTCTCGTACGCACGCACTTTACGTGGAATCTTAATCGCTTTTTTCCAAGGCGTGGCAACCGATGTCACTACGGTTTGCCAAAGTGTTTGATTAAACCGAGCCTCTCATTTGTCGAAAAATAGCACTGCTTTTGTACTGCTTTTTACGACTGGTAAAAATACGGCAATATTTTTTACCATATTAACGTGAGCGAAATTTTTCCGGTTTTTTTTTGGCTAATCGGCTAATAATGAGGAAAAACAGTCTTGCCTAGTCATATACTCATATCTCTCTGGAAAAAGAACCAGTGGGTAAAATATTTTTTAATTAATGATGAATTACGAGGCTGAAATTATTATGTAGAGCAATTTTCGTGGACCGCTTGTATGTGCAAAAAAATAGAGGAACATTAAAGCATCACAGCTAAGCAGTGTACGCACAAAGAGAGAGAGAGAGAGAGAGGGAAAAAGAGAAGGAGAGAGTAAAATAGCGAATGCCTCGTGCATGCGTATACATGTATATGTGTGTATATATGTTAGCAAAAGCTCATGAAAGGTAGAAAAATTGCAGCGTTACGATATATGCAACCAGCAGACTACGAAAGAGAGAGTAAATAAATAAAACAAAAAAGCTCTGCGCGCCGCAAGCGCATGAGTGCTTTTGAAACACGGCGGCGAGAAACAATGTCGAACACATTCCTCTCACTCCCTCCTGTACCTCCCTTCGTCCCCCTCTGCAAAGCCCGGGTTGTGTTCATTTATGCGCGCTTAATAAATGCGCTCACAGCTCGTCTATTGTTTTCTTGTGTATGCGCTCAGATACATGCACACCACACTAGAAGTGTACGTATAGCTGATTTCTCCACCGACATGCAAATTGACCAATTTACATTGTATATCATTTTTAATGTTAACGTTGACTCAACGATTTCATTCATATTGAGCTAGAGTCAACGTTCGTTACGTGTACACATATCACGATGTAATTAATAATCATCATATTTTCCTTCTCTGTTTCAGATTGGACGACCGTAAATTCGAGCTGATTAACGTAAGTACAGAATTCACGTTCTCCCAGTTATTACATAGAGCATCTTTTAAACGCAGCCAGGCAAAAGCAAACCTAATGAATAGTGCACGAAGAGCCCGGCAGTCGATATAATATGCAGCCGCCTCCATACATCGTGAGCGACTCGAGCTTTCCGCCAAATGGCTGCAATGCATTAAATTCACTTGGCCTTTATCCTTTAATTTTTTAGCGCGCGAGTAAACAATTTACGCAGCTTGTTTCGTTATTGTTTCGCTCGGCCGTTATACAGCCCTATATGCATAATTTATTAAGCGACGGATTACAATAATTCAAACTTTGTTCAGAATTTTTACGTGCAAGTAAATTAAAAAGCTCCTATTTAGTTAGACGATGATCTTGCTGTTTTTTCATACCTCGGCGTTTGAAACCTGGTGGAATTTTCGAATGGTCTTTTCACTCGCCTCTCGATATAACTTGTATTTTATTTTGTAATATTGCTTCATAAATCGAAAAGTTGAATTTCAAAATAAGAGAAAGTAAATTTCAACGTGTTATTTTGCTCTGCAACTCATAAATTCAAAAATGTTTTAAGTTTAATAATATGTTGAAATTTAGCGAGCTTGCAATTCTTCGCTTTTTCTAATACCAGTGCACTCCGTAAGCTCTTAGACTGATGAACAAGTCTTTCACATAGGTATATATGAACGATAATTACATTCTTCTGGTGTATAAACCAGAAGCTTGCAAGTATATGGCCTGAGCAACCGCACACGATCGGCAACACATTGAAGCGCTTCGGGGCCTCACTTTATCTCTTCTCTTTTGCCTCTCGCATTGCTAATTGTAACTTCAAAGTCAAGTCAAGACACAGCTCGTTGAGTTTTCTTCCGACTTTTCCACAAGCTACAGAGAGAAGAGAGACGGCAAAAAAGTACTCACAATATGTTGCTTGCTCAACTCCGCGAGTAATTTTCACTTTGTGATTTCGTTAAGCCTCGAGGTTTCGCTCCAAGGTGTAGACGTGCGCTTGTGGCAAAAACTAATTGCATTTTCGAAAAAATCAATTTTTTTTTCTTTCTCGAAATTCTCGTAGCGACGCTCTACTTTAGATTAATGCGCAAAAAATTTATCAGAGCCATGCGCTAGCTCGTATGCTTGAGGGATCCATTTTAGCCCGAGTATACAGAGCTTACTTGTACGTCTCCAGGGTGTCTTATTAGTGAATTATCAACGCTGCCACCGCCCTATCTTCTCTCCTGCGAGATGCTCGTAATGAGATTCTCCTCGACGAGAGCTTGCAGATGCTTTTTCTCTCACTCTCTCAATTTTTCTCATTTTTTCTCAATTTTTTTTCATTTTTTCTCATTTTTATCCTCATTTTTTGCATCTCGTGTGGGAACTCGTTTGCTTTTGTCAGAATTTGGAGACCTTTAGCGTTTCACGGCACATAAAACACACAAAAATCGATCAAATTCTCGCCAGTGTACATCAGTCCTACGCACACGCACGAGTTCAATCGCACCGAATAGCGAGCACGGCATGGTTTCACTATCCTCTCTGTGCAACGTGCAGGTCTTTATCATGAGGGATTTAAGCGCGGATTAAAAGCGCGGCTCATTAACGAAACATCAAAAGGTCCCGTCTATTGCGCCAAGGGCTCGATCGATCGCTGTATTTTTCGAGCAACTGCGAATGAACATATGAAATCGATCATTGAACTTTGTGCTTTCAAAAATAGTCGTTGCGTCGAGACGCGTCGTCTGTTTGTAGCGCATGTGTGTGTGTATATGTGTGCTTTGAAAACATTGAAAATTTATACGCGCTCAATTTTTCTGCTTCGCGCTCGTGCATATACAGTTGACACGTACATATTATTTTATATGCCTCGCGAGAGTAGCAGAGTCGCGCGTGCACCGGTTGTTATTTTTTACGTGCACGTCTACGTCGGATCGCGAGAGAAAAAACATCGATATGTATGAGCTTGGGAAAAAGTCGAGAATATCTCGTATAAGTTTACGTGACGGATGAGCGTTTATCTTGCCTCCATTAAGGAATGTATTTTTCCAGCATAATCGAATTTCCTCTCTATCTTTGTGCAAGCGAGCATCGCGCAAGCTTGTCAATTTCAGCAGCTGAGGCCAAGTTCGCTTAGGCTTGCGTCTTTCTCATCCCTATCTCTCTCTCTCTCTCTACGGAAACTTGCGGATCTATGTGCTCGTGCGCAGAACCGCTCTACATAAACAGCTTTAGTCGTCGGCAGCTTGTACGCCTGTACAGCAGGATCTTGTCGAGCGTATGTTTTCACAATAGACATCAAACGAGTTAGAAATAAGAAAAAGCAAGCGATCCGAAATTCCTCCGCGAACGAATGGCAATCCAATTAATTCGGTGTGCACACGCGCGCGCTCGTTCGCTCGACGTCAAAATCCTCGGCGAGCAATACACGCGATCACCGGCCAACTCGGAATTCCTTTCGCGTGGCTGAGCCGAAATAAAAGCTATTTGGCCGAACGATAATCTCCGGCTAGCTCTGGCTCGCGAGTTTTAGCCTGCACGCGCGCGCGCGGGGGGCCAAAATTCGATCGCGCTGCAGCCCGGCCGACTGCAGGATTTATAGCTTTTGAATATTTTCGAAAGCCATATCGACTCGTCGAAAATACACGACTGCCTCAAATTACTCAACTTCCGCGCAAAGTCCGATACTCGCAGCCGGTTCTGCCCCGAGAGCTCGACTGCATAAGAAGACCGACGCAGAATAAGAGAAGCGTCTATGAATAAAAGGCTAGTTATCAAGATCGTAAATCCTTTAGACACTATAAGGGTTTGATTTATTTGAAAACTTGGCCGTTAGCTGCACTTCCTTTTCTCAGGCCTTTTCAACCACTCGATCCATCATAATTTTCTTTTCTCTCTTTATCTTTGCTTCCTCTTCTCAGCTCCTTACCTATCCCCCGTTCGTTTTTATCCTCTTACTGTCACGTGCGTGCGATGCGTAGCTGCGATTGGCTAGTACGCGCTTCGTTATATCTATTAGTCTGATCCGCTTATCTTCTTCTCTATTAAACGCAGACCAGTGCGCAGCAGTATTCGAAACGGCCAAGCATTTAGTTGAGCAAATGAAATTATAAAATTCATCACTAACGCTTTTTCGCGTTGCGTCAACATTTGCTCATCGCCCAGCAACGAGGTAAAAAACACACACACTCGCGCGCGCGCGCGCCCATACCGACGGACGAAAAAGCTCGTTGTGGTTTTTATACTTAGGCGACTCTCGCACGCGAGCACAAAGTGCATCCTCAACCCTTTCATTTTCACGCTTTTCCACGCGAGTCTTGTTCCACTGCCCACTTTTTCCATCTTTTCAGCTCGCTCGCAACGCAATTTAGAGTCCGGATTAAACAGCTTTTTTCCCCTCCATCCTCTATCTACCTTTTTTCAGTCAGCTTTAGGGCATACAAATTTGCATTGCTCTACTTTCGTATTTTTTTTTTTCAGCTCTAATGATCCCACTACATTTGACTTGTTTTACAGATCACGCGATTTTGCCCTTGGGGCAATAAATTTTGTAGAACAATGGCAGCGCGCTATTCAAACATCTTTGTTCAGTCGTAAAACATCGCAATAATTCAAGTCATTGATCATTCGTGAAATTATTCCTTTATATTTTTCTGAATATAAACCGAGGGAGCATTTTAACTCGAAAGAAATATTCGTTACTCGATAACCTGAGTTCTTTACCGCTTTGTAATCGCTTATATAACGGCGTAGAACATAAATCGACAGTACATAAGATCGCGTCCAACGTATTCTACTGTACATATTTCCTTGCAGACGAATATTTTAGGCGTGCAGCTACGATTAATGGCAATGACAGTGAAATATTTCGTTGACAGCGCGGCGTTGTTTTATGTGCTGTATATTTTTCTAAACGCGTGATGCATTGTTTGTTTCAGAACACAATTCTGCCCGAAGCTGTACATTTTTGGGAGCGAGCTCTAATGGTACGGGAAACAAGAGGAACCATACGTCTGAACCGGTAAGTTTTCCTCATTACGCTCGTCGTGCTGAAAATAAGCACGTCCGACCGCAAGCCGAGCCGTTCGAGCATGTATATATACACGCTCGGAAGCGTTCATCATTTTAACGTGCAGATATATGCATGTATCTGGAAAAGCCGGAGCCGAGCACATATACGTACAGCTCTCAGCACACAATATGCCAAAGTGTCAAAGTTATTCAAACTCGCGCGCGCGTACGACAATGACGGGGGGGGAAAGAGCTTTCGATCGTTTGAAAGCTTCGCGCACAGTGCAGCAACGCAGGCCATACTTCGATTCGAGTTTATATATCGCCGCAAGCGACAATGGAATCTCACGACGTCTCCGTTCTCAGCTCGTCATTGTGCTCGTATCGGACACATCGCAGCCGGTGCCGTACGTCGCTGCTGCTGCTGCTGCTGCTGCTGCTTTTACTTCCCTACCGGCTGGCTCGAAAAAAAAAAAAAAAAAAAATTACATAGACGAGAGCGCGCGAGCTCGAGTAGAGCACGCGCGCTACGTAAAGCTCCAGTTATTGCTGTTTCTCCTTTGATGCGCATTATATATACGTGCGTTCCGACGTTACGTGTGTATACGACGACGGAAGAAAGCTCAAAAATGGTAATAATTCAAAAAAAAGTAATCGATAAACAAAGTAGCGCGAGCTCGGTTGTGTACCTAGCGATGTAGCAGCGATCCCCTACCCCCCGCGCACATAGCAAGCACAGCGATATAATCTAATCTTACCATTCTGAACAGCAAACGCCGCCGCCACTGCTGCTGCTGCTGCTGCTGCTGCTGCTGCTGCTGCTACCGCCGCTGCTGCTGCTGTACATATATACACACACGAGCGCAGCACGAGGCAGTGCAAGTCAGAGAGCTAGCCTCTCGCGTATAATTTGTATGCATGCACGTCTCTGCCTCGGGGCGTTGCGCATAAATCTCCGCTTACGTCGTATAGCCGTAATGAGGTCTCGGAGCTTGATCGCTTGCTGACTACGTGTGCGCGCCTGTACCTTAGGCTCGCCTCCAACTCGAGCTTGCGCACATATATAACGCCGAGAGAACGTCGAGTCGAGGCTACATAAAGCTAACATCGTGTATCGTTCGAGATGTCTCGGATGCGTCCTCCTCCACGTATCCTTGATATTTTCCCTGCAGCTCTCTCGTCTTTTTTCTCCCTCGCTTTGCGTCTATATTTAATTAAGTTTCTGAGACCCCAGCGAGCTTTTGATCAGATTTTTATTACTTGAATTTTACGACTGCATCAAATTCATCGCGCGTGCCATGGGTATTTTGGAATTCCTTTGTAGCCGCTGCGACGAGCGGCCGCTTAAAATACGTGTATATAGCATAAACACGCGATTTATTACACGTACAAGCTTTCAACATACAGTAGCTATATAATAATGATAACTGTGCATTCGCAAAAAAATAAAAAAAAAAGCCCTGCCAACTTTCAAGTCACGAAGCCGCACGTCGTCGGTTATTTATTATTTACATAAATCCAGGCGCACGTCATGGATATAGTCTCGAGCGGCGAGAGAGTTGATATCGCAGCCATCCGCAGTAGTTCATACTCGCTTGTCGTCGTCGTCGTTGTCGTAGGAGAGAGAGAGAGAGACGTTTTTGTTGCAGATCGCGTCCAAGATGCTGCTGCGGTCAGCTGTAAACATCTCAACTGTTCTTGGAGAGTAATATAGATTATAAAAAGAACGAGCACTGCGTAAACGTACGTGGCTTTTTTTCAATAAATCCAGCCATGCACCGTGTGGAATATAATAAGCTAGCTGCGCGCTGCAAATAATTTCCTCTTGGCTGAAATATCGCATCTCGAGTAACTAAACCAACAATTCGAGCAAACGTACTACTATTACGCACAAGGCGCAGATATGTATGTGTGCATAAGCGCATATCCATCTCTCTCTCTCTCTTTCCCTCAGTCTTCTTCTCTCTCGCTCTCTAGTCTCTCCGTGCCACACTTGATGAATGCCTTGGAGATTGATGGAGGTGTGCGGAGTACGCGCAGAAAGGCGCATGCGCACATAACTGAAATTAATGCGCGTCGGGCCGCATTCAAGCAAATACGCGATTATACCTGTGTACATGCGCCTACATTGTATGTAATATATATATCACGCACGTGTATTTATAAATACATGTATACAGCGCGTATATCAGTTGGCAGTTTGGAGTATGCTTACGCGTTTCGGCGGCTAAGAAATACATGCATGTGTACGTAGAGCCATGTTTGTTTTTGCTGCTAGCTACATAGTTTTAAACCTACATAGGTATATGCTCGCCGTGTACGCTCGTATTTGCCAGGCATTTCAGCTTCGTGCACATTGCGCCGAAGGCTGGGCAAGACGTCCTCTTCCTTGCGCCTCACCTAATGTCAGAGCTTTGGCTCGAAATTTCGACATAGATTTGGTTTATGTTGCTGTTGTTGTTGTTACGCGCTCATGATACTTCTCAGTTTTTGCCACCCAACTCGCTGTCAAAGCCAGAGATAGAGGCAAGAAGGACTGGAGACGGAATTAAATTGCTTTGCCAAAAGCTTACGAGAGCGTGGCGCGTAACGTTGCTTAGATATGTGCCAAGATTTCGGGCGCTCGAGTCTGACCGAACATTTGTCGCTACTACTGTGGCGCATCGATAGGACAAATAAAACAGCTGCACGTACAAACACGTCGTAATTAGCGCTCGCCGAGTTTACACATTCGAGCGCCGCTGTCGGCTCGTCGACTCTTTGATAAGCTGTCTCGCTAATAATGCTAATTGGTCCGGCTACTGAATACCTGCGTCCCGGCCCGTTTTAATGCCAAACGAAAGAACGCGCAGCCGTAAACGCGACGGCATTTCCGACTCTTTTCTGCTCTTCGCGGGGAAAATTAGTTTTCCGTGAAATTCTAATCGATCCGTTATGCCGTAAGTCATAAAGTTTATCAGTTTGTACGCACGGGCACATCTCGCACATGTACCTCCGAGGCTGCTCCGTACGCGAGTGATATTTTGTCTGTTATGCCGACGAGGAGGGCTTTGAACTTTTTCATCAAAACTTTTTCGTTCTTTGACTCAACTATCGTCTTTCTCCCATAGCCGCAAGAGACTTTTTACTTTTTTCGCAGGTACATAAGGACTTCTATTCCTTTTGTTTCACTTGCTACCTCTCTCTTTCTTTCTCACTTCTTATTTATGCCTCCCACTTTTGTTCATACCAACTTTGTTGCTCTTGTGTTGTTTTCCATTCAAAATTACTGCTATTATTTACCGATACTTCTTCTTGCTTTCTTTGCCGAGTAATAACACACGCGTTCTGCAACTTTCGTGTTTCCCAACGGCGCATTGTATCATTACTCAAATTGAAGCTTCCCTTCAAACTTTGACGTCTCATACACGAGAAAAGTTTATCATCGTCGCGTCTATGAAATTCAAGGTATTACAAGACATTTTTGTCAATATATAGAGTCGCGTGCAAGTTTTTACCTGTTTTGCGCACGATCGTCCAGTCCTAAGGTAAGCCAAGTCCGTTTTTTTGCGCCTCGCTATAGGGACAAGTTTCACAGGGAGCTTTGGCATAAAAGCAAAGTATGCAGCTCTTCGTGCAGCAGCGTAAGAGGGACAGTAAAATAAAACGCGTAAAAAATAGAGAGCGAGTCTATATATAGAGGCTGGTAGGAAGGAAGGAATACTGAACTTCCGAAGTGCTTGAAAAACACTTTATTTTCAGGAGGTGCGCGCGCGCTCGCGTAAGCTTATGTATTTTCGCTTCTTATTTTTTCCTGCGTTTAAAGCTGTTGCTGCTGCTGCCGCCGCTTTCCTTCCTTGTTTCGCTCTTGCTTCGCGCGAGCATAGCTTTTTTCCGGCTTACAACGTATGCAGTACATTAGAATTTCTCTTCCCCAGCTCGTTTTATTTCTTTTTTTTTTTTTTAGTCCTGCAACGTAGATAAGTTGCAAATTCGCGCGAAAAATAATCATAATGCCATTTACGAAACGTCAACTGCAGAGAGAACATTTTTCTCTTCGTTTAGAGCTGTTACTGAGATTAACTCGTATACGCGAATGCGAGCTCGCAAGAAAAGCGACTTTTTCTCGTTTCTCGGCCGGCTCGTATTGCGCCGCATGTACAATCGCGCTTTAATTACAATCTACTGCTTGGCATTTGGGATAAATTTGCCGGTGGCGCCTTCGAAGCTTCGATGATCCTTATTCCGTAAGCAGGAGTCTCGGGACCCTCGAGAGCCATCACTCTGAAACAATCTTCGCGGCTCTCGAATTCTCCACGGACTGTCGGGCATATCACACCCTGTATTATCTGGGCCAAGATCTACATGAGCAGCAGCAAATATATCGCACGCGTCGTAGCGACAATCAACCAAGCGAATATATTCAAAAGCCATATAAAGTAGTTTCGCGAGAGAGAGAGAAAGAAAAGACGCAACAGCGCGGCTCATTCAGCATGTATAACACGACGGTGTAAAAGTAAAAGGCCAAGAGAGCGAAAATTCAAATAGTCTTGGAAGAAAAAGCTCTCACGGCAAATCCAGACGATCCATTATTCAGCCATCGCGTGCGCGTTTGTTTACCCGCTACCTAGTGAAATTTTGCCGCGGATTCTCCTGCCCCAAGGGAGGTGTTGCTGCCTCGCCGTTGCCTGGCTCTCCTATCTCGGCCGAAAAAAAGCCTTATGATTTTTTCATGTGACAAGCTAGAGAGATGACAACTCCGGAGCACTAGTTGAAAGCTCTCGAGAGGAATTTTTCCTCTTACGAGACGCGTTGATTTGCATGTGATATTTCTTGCGCTGCGAGAGGGAAATTTCAGCAGTGGCACTAGCTGCAGCACTGCCGGAGAATAATTCTCATCGTCAAAGTCAGTTGTACAATTATTGCACCCACGTCGGAGCATAAGAAAACACAATTTGCTTTATCGCGCACACAAAGTTCCAAGCAGCTAAACTTCCACCAGTGCCACCCCGTTGATAAGTTACACGACGT